GGGTCCACCCGCCCGGACCGCCTCGGCGCGGGCCCCTACGCCACCGTCTACAAGGCCTACAGGAAGGTAGGGCCGGGCCCGCTGCGGGGACCCCCGCCAGACCCCCTAAATCTGCGCCCCTCCCTCCCGTGGGATCCCCCTTTTCACAGCCCCCCGCATGGGGCACCCTCCCTATAGCCCCTCTATGGGACCTGCTGCCCCCAGCCTGGGACCTGTCCCCTGTCACCCCCTTGCCAGGGGCTCCCCCCCGGGACCCCTCTGGCAGGCTGGGGAAGGCCCCCCAGGGCTGCTGTTTGGGTGAGGGGGTACGGGGGGGCTCCAGGCTCGGCTCCCCTGGGCAGAGGGACACGCGTGAAGTGGTGGCCATCAAGTGCGTGAGCAAGAGGAGCCTCAACCGGGCGTCGGTGGAGAACCTGCTGACGGAGATCGAGATCCTGAAGACCATCCGCCACCCGCACATCGTGGAGCTCAAGGACTTCCAGGTGCGGCTGGGGGCTTCCAGAGGGGGACGCTGAGCCAGCACCCGTCCAGCTCAGGTCCTGGGGTCCAGCCTGGCTCCCCAAGGCTGTATCTGTGGGGCTCAGTGCCAGCAACCGGGCAAACCGGTCCAGGTGGGCCCAGCGTGGGTGGGACACACGACGGGACTGGCCGGGGCGGCGTGACGGGGTCCTTTTGCCTCGCAGTGGGACAGCGACCACATCTACCTGATCATGGAGTTCTGCGCCGGGGGGGACCTCTCCCGCTTCATCCGGATGCGCAGGATCCTCCCCGAGAAGGTGGCACGCATCTTCCTGCAGCAGCTCGGTAAGGGCGCCCTGCCCAGCATCCGCACCGGCTCCGTCAGGCACCCTCCCCGGGGACTTTGGGGGGCAGGGCTGCGGTGGCATCCCCCCTGCCACGTGCCCGTCTGCCCACCCAGCCTGTGCCCTGAAGTTCCTCCATGACCACAACATCTCCCACCTGGACCTCAAGCCGCAGAACATACTCCTGAGCGCCCCGGAGAACCCCCAGCTGAAGCTGGCAGGTCAGGACAGGTCCCCAGGGAGGGGCTGGGGGTGGTAATTCCTTCTCCCCCCCCCCCCCCCACCACAAGCTCTCCTTGCCCCTTCTCCCGCAGATTTCGGGTTTGCGCAGCACATGTCGCCGTGGGACGAGAAGCACATTCTGCGGGGCTCCCCGCTCTACATGGCCCCCGAGATGGTGTGCCGCCAGCAGTATGACGCCCGGGTGGACCTGTGGTCGGTGGGCGTCATCCTTTACGGTAGGCTTTTGCTTTTATCCCCCCGGGGTTTGGCTCGGGGCCAGTTTCCCCCTCTCCATCTCCCCCCACCGCTCCCTTTCTCCCCCTGCAGAAGCGCTTTTTGGGAGGCCGCCCTTTGCCTCCCGCTCCTTCGCTGAGCTGGAGGAGAAGATCCGCAGTGACCGGGCTGTTGAGGTAACGCAGGATGGGACGGAGCGGGGTGGGATCTCGCAGCCTGTCCCCGTGCTGGGGCTGCAGTGGGGACGGTGGTCTCAGCCCCCGTCCCTCCCCAGCTGCCCAGCCGGCCCCCGCTCTCCCCGGAGTGCAGGGATCTCTTAGGACAGCTCTTAGAGAGAGACCCTTTGAAACGCATCTCCTTTGAGGGCTTCTTTGCCCACCCTTTCGTGGATATGGAGCACGTCCCTGGCCCTGAGAGCCTCTGCAAGGCGGTGAGCGGGGTGCTGGGGTGCTGCTCCCTGGGGATATGGGGGTCCGAGCCCTGAGCCCCCGCCTCCTCTCCCGCAGACTGACCTGGTGGTGGAGGCGGTGAAGAAGGATCAGGAGGGGGATGCCTCTGCTGCCCTCTCCCTCTACTGCAAAGCCCTGGAGTATTTTGTGCCGGCTCTGCACTGTAAGTCCACCCTTTTTGGGGGGCTGCATGGGTCCTGGGCATTGGGTGCTGGGTGCGTTGGGGGGGCAGCACCCTGGGGGAGGCCAGTTTGCAGCCCACCCACCCCAGTGCTCGATCGCTCTCCCTCCCAGATGAAAGCGATGCTCGCCGGAAAGAAGCCATCCGCGCCAAGGTGAGCCAAAAATCCCTGGGGAGGTGGGGGACAGCATCCCCCCACCTTCCCTGCCCAGCTTAGCTTAGCAAGATGCCCCCCATCCTCTGCCCCCCGTGGCAGGGGCCCCCTCACCCCTGCGCTGTGGGCAGGTGGGGCAGTACATCTCCCGAGCGGAGGAGCTGAAGGCGTTGGTCACCTCCAGCAGCAAGAACCTCCTGCAGCAAGAGAACCCGGCCAGAGAGCTCCTTAAAGGTAGCAGTTTTTGGGGCCCCCCCTGGAATCGGTGGAGCAGGAAGGGGGAACCTGATGGGGTTTTGGGCTGAAGGGTGCCTCCCACGGGTGCTCCCCAATGCAATGTCCCGTCTTGCAGAGATGGCCAAGGACAAGCCTCGGCTTTGCGCTGCACTGGAAATGGCTTCTGCAGCCATCGCTAAGGTGAGTCGTGGATTTGGGGGTCCCCTCTCCCCTCGAGTGGAAAGAGAAAGAGCAAACCCGGGTGGGGAGGGAGCCAGTGTATCCCCCTGGCTGCAGCCCGACCTCCAGGGTCTCTTGCAGGAGGAGGAAGGCAAAGACGATGGTGACACCCTGGAGCTCTACCAGCAGAGCCTGGGGGAGCTGCTGCTCCTCCTGGCCGGTGAGTTGTGGCCGTGGCGGGTGCTGCAGGGCAGGGATGGATCCTGTGCCTGTGGCCGATCCGACAGCGCATCCCTCTTCCCTCTGCAGCGGAGCCTGCGGGGAGGCGACGGGAGCTGCTCCACGCAGAGGTGAGTGCCTGCCGTGGGACAGCGGCGTGTCCCCGTTGGCATGGCTTTGAAGGGACTTTCCTCTGTCTCCACCAGATCCAGACCCTGATGGCCCGAGCTGAGTACCTGAAAGATCAGATGAAGGTATGGCTGCCTGGGAGGGCTCTGGAGCATGCTTCCGGGGGGTTTACAGGCTGGAAAACGTTCCTCTCCCCTGGCAGATGCGGGAGGCGCAGTCCATGGGCAAGGAGGCGCTGGCGGAGCCTGTCCGAAGCAGTGAGTCCCCATCTTGGTCCCCTCTCATCCCTTTGGAGGGGGCTTGGTGAAAAGGGCCTGGGGAAGCGTCCCCACTCGTGGCTGCGATCATGCGGTGGGGAATATCCCTACAGCTGCCGCAGCCATGGGGATATTCCTGCCCATGGGTAATCCCAACCCCACACACCGTCCTCTCCCCCCAGCATGGGGTCATCTGTGCCCGGGAGCCCACCCGGGCTGGGTGACGGTGTGTGCAGCCGAGTGAGTGCCCTCTGTCCCCCCCGGCACAGCCTGTACCTTGCAGTGACGCCTGGGAGCCGGCTGGTGGGATGCTGCTCACCGCCCTGGCACTGCCGTGCAAAGAGATGCCGTCGTCGGGGCGGAGGAAAGACGAGGCTTTTCATCCTAACCACATCAGGATAACCACCTCGGGGGCTCACCCTTGGGCCTCCACCCCTGGAGGGTCCCATGGGTGGGTCCGCAAGGCCATCTGCCCCTCTCCCCAGGTGCTGGCATCAACTCATTTCCCAACAGGCAGAGTCCCCTCCCAGCCCTGCCTTGACCGTCTGCTGCTGCAGCATCCCCAGACCATGGCGGGCAGGTTATTCCACTCTAATTCCCTCCACTGGCTGTGACAGACTGGGTATTTTTATCCTGGCACTGGGCTCTGGCAGAGTATCCCCCCTGCCAGTTGCATACGTCTCTTGCCTTTTCGGCTGGATGTTTCTTCCACCTCCCAAATTCTTCTGGGGGGGCCTTGAGCGTATGCACAGCCCAGACTGGCAAAACTTGCCGGTAGCCTCAAGCTGTTGGTGACGGCAGCAGGCAGGGGGTCGGGGCTGCTGCCTGCACCTGCCCTCCGCTGTGCCTTTCTCACCCAGCAACTACCTCTCTGCACCCACTGCCCAGCCTCGAGCACCCAATTGCACTGTCCCAGCCCAGCTGTACCTCCCTCTCGCTGCTGGAGCATCGGGGTTGAGGCGTTTGCTTCCTAAACTTGCATTCGCTGGAGTCTGGCAGGTACTGTTCTGCGTTAGTCATTTGTGTCATGAGGTGTTACCGGTGCTCAGCGGGGACTAATTGATTGTGCATGCACTCCGCGAGTGTAGTTGTCGAATAAAACAGATGAGCAGAAATCAATCACCTTCAGGGACAGAGTCACATGGCTGCAAACAGCGATACCTCCCCAAAGGCAGAGCCTGGGCGTTCTGCCTGCTCTGCTCCTCAGGGCTCTGACAACCCCAATATCCAAATTATATTCCCAGGAGCCCCCCCAGCCCTGCAGAAGTCACTTATCCAGGGGGGTGAGGTCTGCCTGTCCTGCAAGCAAGGGACTTGTCTCAAAATCTACTGTATTTCAAGGGAATGTAATTTATTGTCTTTAATAAACACTTACTTTGTTTTCTCCAATTACTCCAGTCTCAGGTTTGTGCTTTAAGACCCAAGAGGGGTCTCCAGCCCAGCCCAGGATCAAGAGCCAGCCTGGGGTGCCTGGAGCCATCCGGAAGGGCTCTCAGGCCCTCATCCCTGTCCCCCTGCCCAGGACCGGAGCTGGGGGGTCCCCTCCTCTCCTCCAGCCAGCACTGGCTGGGAGTGCCCTACCTCCCCATGCTCCCTGGGGACACGAGGCAGGCAAAGCAAGGTTTGACCTTGTTTTCACTTCAGATCTTTTTTTTTTGTGTGTGCGTGTAAAACATCGAGCAGAACAACATGAAAGATTACATAAAATCGCATTTTCTCCAATAGATTTTTATGGCGGGTGAGGAATAGCTGGGCTGGGTGGGGAGGTGTGGGGGAAAGGCAGAGGGGCTGGAGCAAATGATGGGGTGATTTTTGGGGGACCCCAGGGATGGTCTGAGCCGTGACCCCAGCACAGCTCCTTCTAAGGCTGCCTTCACCCCAGCTGGTGCCCCATAACATGGTTTCTTTAGTCCTTTGCCGGCTGCTCCGAGCCACTGCTGGAGAGCTTCCCAGTCAGATGTGGCAAAGCGTTTTTATGTCTTTTTTTTTTTTTTATTATTATTATTCTGAGCAGAGATTATATCCTGAGGCTTTAAAGAGCTTTCAAACCCCCTGCCCTCCCCCGGCCCGTGGCTAACGCAGAGCCGCCGGGGCTGGCTCGGATAATCACATCTGCCTTTACGCTCTGCCGAAGATGCGGCCGAATCCGGAGCCTTTTGAAGTGGGGAGAGGCTCCGGCTGCTTCCCTGGGGTGATGGAGCTCGGGGTGCCCTGGCTTTGTGTCGGGGTGGATACGAGTCTCTTCTGCGTCAGGGCTCGCAAAGCGCTGCCCAAATGTCGCTGCCCAGGCTGAAGGGAAGGAGGTACAAAGCGAGCAGTCCCCAGCCTGGCAGCGCGGGGCCGGCTCCGGCGGTGGCCTCTGTCACTCGTCGAAGGCTGCAGCGGTCCGGCCGCCTTCTCCCATCGGTGTCACGGCAAAGCCCGGTGGGGACGCGTGCCGAAGCAGTCCTGCCTCCTTATGCCATCCAGCCCTTGCAAAGGGCTCTTCCAACCCAGAGCCTCCCGTGCATCGCTCATGGGGCACCTCTTGGGCCCAGATTGTCACCCAGAGGGGGACACAGGGGTGGCAGATGGATTTATCACCCTCCTTGTACCAGCCCATGGGTTACTCGGTGATCTGAGTTCAAACACTTTTAAAGAAAGAGAGGGCTGGGGAAAGCTGGGTCAGTGTGTGGAGCCAATCCTGGGCTCTCCTCCGTGCTCTTTAATCCAAATTAATCCCAATATCTGGACCAGCAGTACAGCGATGCGGCAGTGGGATGGATGGGGCCATCCCTTCCCGCAGCAGCTAGCAGGGAGATTTAATTGCCTGCAAAAAGAAAAACAAAGCGTTCAGCGGAGATCCCCCATCCTTTGATGGCGGTTCATTTGTTTCGGTGCTTTAACAATTGCTCATTTAATGCTTTGTTCATTGGGGAAAGCATTCACATCATCCCACACTCACCAGCAGAAAGGAGGCCTGATCCTGTGGCCGTATGATGAGGGGTTGCTCCGTGTCTGGTGCAGGAGGGTAGGAGCTCTGCCCGCCTGCGGGGCATTTATTTATAAGCTCCGCTGCCGGCAGAGATTCTCCAGCACCCAGTAAGGGCTTGCTCAGACAAATCCACCCCAAACCTGGCCCATAGGTTAGGGGTTTATAGCATAGAAGAGAAAAAATAAATTTTCTGCTTTAATCCACACTAATTTTTTGCTTTAAGTTTTTTAGCCCATGTGTTGATGCCCGGAGCAGTCATATGGCGTGCAGGCAGCCGGGATGCTCGGCTGCAGGGATGCTCGGGGACCCGGCAGCGGGGAATGCTGGCAAACAGGATGCATCTCTCGACGGGCAGGGGACAGGCAGGAGGAGGGCTGCCTGCCCCTGCTCCCCCATCCCAAACTCTCCTCCCTGGGACAGGCACTGGGCCAGCGATGGGAGCAGGACTGCAGGCTCAGAGCATCCTCGGAGCTCACGCCGCTTTGCCGGGAACGCTTTGCTGAGGCTTAACATGTTGCGGAGCCAAGCGGGAGAGCGCGTGCTGCTTGCTTTTCACATGCCTGGAGGTCATGGTGCCTCCTAAAATAAACCCGCCGTGCTTCACGCGGCCTTTGCGTGGCGGCACGTGGGCCGGCAGCAATCACGGAGCAGAGCCGAAGGTCCGTGGCTGGGGGAGCGGGGAAGGGGGGCAAAATAAAAGGTGGGGGAGAGGGTCCAGGCTGTGTCCCGGTGGGGTTACACTGGTTACGGGTGGGGATGAACCAAGGGGCTGCATCCCCCAACCCCATCTCCCTCCCTCTGCTCTCGTGGGGATCCCGCTCACTCGCGGGATGTTTTATTGATCAAGCCTTGCTGAGGATTTAAAAGCCAAGCCTGGCTGGAGGGCTCGGCTTGGTCAGTGCCTGCTTTCTGCTATCCCTTTCCTGGTGGGGGATTAGATGAGCTTGGGCTGATCCTCATCAGGTATGATCTCCTTTCAAAGCTAAAGCTGCTTCTGCCAATCTTCCCTCTCCTTTCTCGCCAGCCTCCGGCACCGTGTGGGGCCGGGTTAGGGCTCTGCCTGGGGCAGATGTCCCCGGAGCTGCTGGCCGGTCCCTGCGGGGCTGGAAAGCAGCCTGGTCCCTGGGGCTGGAGGGCTGTGATGATGTGGGTCCTCGTGGGCAGAGCATCACGCCTGAGCTGCGGCCAGGAGGCCGCCGTCTGTCTGTCCTGCCAGCCAAAGCAGTGGCTGATTTCTTCTCAAGTGTGAGACAACCTCTGACTTTGGAGGGTATCAGGAGTTTCTCAGGACTCCCTGGCCCCAGCACGGTGTTGCCAGGGGGCTGGGGGCAGAAAGCAGTCTCCTGGCCATACCAGGGAGCTTTGCTCAGCCCAGCAGCCCCACACATGGCCTGACCCAGCATCCCTGTTGCAATACTAATACTAATACTAATACTAATACTAATACTAATAATAATACTAATACTAATACTAATACTAATACTAATACTACTAATAATAAAACAACCAGCTTCCCAGCACCCTCCCCTGTGTTTTCCTGGATGACCCACACACACACCCCCCCTGCAAAAGCAAATTGCAGTTAATCGGCTCCGTTGGGATTTGGAGCGGTAAATTCCCAGCTCGTGCCAGCTCTTTCCAGGAAGCCTCGCTGCAGGAGCCCACCACCCGCCGGGATGCCGGCAGGCTGGAGTTGCTCTGGCCTGAAGTCACACCTGTACTTATCACAGTCTCGTCCCCGCAGAGACGTGTCCTTGCTCGGAGCAGTGCTGCGGACATCCCGCAGCGCCCATGAGACTGAGCCGGGTAGCTGGTGGTGATCTGAAGGCTTTTTACTAAAATAGCCCAAAATCTGTGAAATCTGGGGGTTTTGCTTGCTTTTAAATCCGGCTGCTGACAAAGAGTCATTCGTAGCATCCCTTTGGTACGAAACATGGCAAAACACCTGACCGCAACCAGGCGCGATGCTTTCTTCTGGATGATGCTGCAAGAGATTTCTCCCTTGAGCTCCCATCACTGCTCCCCCCTGCCCTGTCAAGGGGATGTGCTTGACCTCTCTACACCCCTCATACCTTGGGGGACCCCAACACCTTTATCAGGAAAGCACTGCTCGAGGAGAGAAAGAAATGCATAGACATCTCCTGGTATTTATTCCACCGGTTATAACAGTACCATGGCACGGGGACAGCATAGGAGGTGGAGAGACACTCAACTGAGCACAGCACACAACCACAGCACGACAGAGGAGGAGGAGATTTTCCCTTATCACT